TATGAAAGACTAGATTTCTGTGAGGTCTCTTGATCAGTATTTCTATCTTTCTGGGCTGATGTTAAAAAAGAACAAACCCCTGGCTCGGTTCCTCAAGCTGGCTAGTCTGATTTTGAGGCAGAGACTCTTGAGTAATTGACTCTAGCTTGCTGGACTTATGTCAAGAAACAGATTTCTGTGAGGTCTCTGGTTCTGGGCCCTTAACGTGTCAAGGCGCATGCTTATTTGTTTAGAGCTTTGGTCTGGCAGAGCTGTTCTCAAGGCACAGACCTATGTGGAGAGTTATTGGATCAACCGCCACAGCTTGTTGGACTGCTGTCAAATCTCAGTGACTTTGCAGAGACCTATCTACAGATTTTGCATGTCAAGGCATTGGCCTTTGTGAGTTTGCAGCCTCAGCAGTGTTGTTTCCCTGGGATGAAGTCCAGCAACCAGCTTCTGTAAGTGTCATTGGCTCAGCATCTCAAGCTTTACTGGGTTTATATGTCTGTAAAATCCGTGGCTTAACATCTCTAGTTTGCTAATTTGATGTCATGGCACAGATAGTCAGCCTATTAGTGGCTCTGGACACTTACCCTAAAAGCCCAGGCCTCTATGAGCTCACTGGCCCTGTTGCACAAAGCATTTTTTATGTTACAGCTTTCCTTTTTCTGTTTAATATCTTTATACATGCTGGAGTTGATCTGATTTGTTCAAAGCAGTGTTTTATTAGGCCATGAGAGAGGGGTCTCATATTTGTTTGTTTACTATAATAGATTTTGATGTTTGGGGAAAATCTTTTCCTCGCTTGTTAAAACTTTGCCTAATATTTAAAATCTATTGAAAATGTAATTATTGTCCGAGTCACCCAGTTAATTCTATGTTATACAGTCTTTCAGGATTTCTTCATTAACTCCTGCTGCAGACATCTGAAATATTTCAGGTCTATTGCACAGATGATGCTAAAGGAAACACTGTAATGAAAATTTTTGGAATCTGTTTCTTTTTCTGATCAAGTTCACAGTTGCAATTCTCATTTCTTTCCC